CGCAGCACTCGCCTGAAGTCGTAGAGAGGTTTCATGGGTGCCCTGCTGACTCCTTGTTCGGTGTCATCTTGAACAGCCGTGTCATCGATGACGTCATCTTCTTCTTGATTCTGCGCGCGCTCAGACTCTTCTGCCATTCGCTGGATGGGGTCGTTCTCAGTCTCATCGTCAGACTTGTTTTGACAGACCTTGAACTCCGTCACTCCAGTCCAGCGATCGTCACCCATCAGCTGTCGCGAAGCGTCCTTCTTGTTCCAGACGTCACTCACAACCAGCTTGGCTCCCTGCTTGTCATAGGGATCGGCGATGGTCTTGCGCTCTTCCATCAGCTGCTCTGAAGACACCGGGCATGACGTACTGGTCGGCACAAACATGTCATTCCAGGGCTTCACATGATGTCGCCGAAGTATGCCAGCTGTCTCATCCAGATCCCAATGATCCTGCGCGATCAGCCAGCCGTCGTGCATGATCTTGGTCCTGGGTTGGCTCAGTGTCCGGATGTCTGATCTTGGTTCTGGGTTGGCTCAGTGTCCGGCTGTCTGCATCGTGATCCAACTCTTGATTTCGCCCTTGAAGACCAATCGCCACGGTGCGGAAGCTGTCCTCAAGTAGGGCATTGGTAGAGGCAACTCTTCTGCGCGACGGGTGCAGCAAATGCCCTTGATGTCAATGACCCGCTTGAGGATCTTCGGCGCCACCGCCAAGTAGACCGGACCCTCCGTCCAGCGGCGGTACTTCTGCTTGTGCGCCTCGATGACATTGACACTCTCTTCCACAATCTTCATCAGCAGAAGCTTGAGCATGAGCGTGTCGATGGCGGGCATCTCATAGCTGATCTGAAGCTTGATGTCGTGGAGCGCGGGGTGTCGCATGGCTTCTCTCTTGAACTGCTCGATCAGATCTGGCAGTGATGTGGTCACGTGTGACCTTGATCGAAGATGCCGTTGCAGGTGTTGGCAAGGATGAAGCATGACGGCATTCTCGAGGCACCAGACTATGCTCAGTGCCCGGAGGAGCTTCACGGCCAAGTCGACATTTGTCACACTTGTAGTAGATGTTGTAGTTTGGTTGTTGTAGTTGATCCTGTTGACGTAGCGCTTGATGTCCGCAACGATGGCCTTGCAGAAGCCTCTGGGGTAGACAGCAGGCATCGTGGTGCGCTGCCTGCCCTTGCTGTCGGCTCCTTGCAGTTGCGAGCGCTGTGGGTCGTAGTTCTGTGTGTCGCTCACTTCGGACGTAGTGGAGGCTGATTCCGGGAGGAAGCTCCACATCTGTCGGCCGGAAGAACCGGTTCCTGGTCAGGATGTGTACTCGCGTGAGGAAGACACGTCCATCGTCCCGGAAGTCCACTTCCCAGTAATCTTCCCTCTCTGGAGACTCGTCGATGGACATGGCCTCCTTCGTCTTCTGAACCGTGTCCTGGTTGGCGTCCCTGCTGTAGTCCCCTGCGCCGATGTGAACCTTCTTGGGTGATGCCTTCGTGCTCGTTTCACTCCGCTTCCGTCCTGGGCCTGACTCATCAAGATGCCAGACACTGTAGCGCGTGTCCGGCCATTGGCCCCTTGCTTGGCCCTGCACAGCGGTGAGGAAGGTGTTGACCTCTTGGCTGTCCTTGATGAGGGCATGGTTCGCCTCATCGAGCGGCAATAAATAGTGTCGCGAATCCGTGAACAAGAGCCGGTAGAGGTTGTAGGTCTTCATCTCCTTGTCTCTGGGCAGGATCAGGAGCCCGTCGGTGTTCGTGAACCACGAGGATGCAATTGCTGCTTGCAGCCCCACCAGTTCAGGGTTTCCGACCAACGCCGGACACAATGATGCGTTGCCCCCGATGACGTCCGCGGTGTAGGTCGCCTCGGAGAGCTAGCTCCTTGAGCATAGGAAGTTACCCGAACTTGTCCCAGGATGGGATCTGAGTGACCGAGATGCCGGTGACCTCAGCTTGCTTCTCCTTCCAGGTGACTCTGACGTGGTTGTTGTTGTCGTCGGAGAGGGCGCAGTTGTCCGGGAGGTCTCTGAGAGTCTCGGTGCCAACCAGGCTGTTGGCAGCTCCGGCGCCGGGATCAATAATGAGACCCCTGCGACGCTGTCCTCCGACTGTGCGATAGATCTCCGGGCTCACGTCTTCACACGTCTTGTAGGCGCCGACGTGAAAGGAAAAGCTGAGGTTCTTGGGTCCACGATGGTGTTGCGGCGGCCTCTGCGTCTGTCGATGATGCCGAAATTCCTTGAGGACGGTTCTTGAAAAGGTCCTCCATGTGTTCGCCTTGACCAAGAGGTGAGGCCTTGTTGTGTGATTGCTGAGGTCGCAAAGGCTGTGCTGATGGCCGTGATGGTGCTGCGGTCAAAGGGCTTGTAATGCATGGTTGTGTTGAGGCTCGGTCCTTCGCGAGCATGTCGTACCTGCCTCGTCTCACGGGTCTCGACGTAGTATCGGGATCCACCGAACTTGCCCTTGCGCTTGCCTTTGGACTTGCCCTTGGACTTGCCTTTGAACTTTCCTTTAGGGCGATAGCCATAGCCCTTGCCTTTGGGCCGCCAGCCGCCTTTGCCCTTGCCTGTCCTTCACGGGGCAGTTTGCCGCGAGGCGCCATCGAGATCCACAAACACCCAGAGTTGCCTTTGTTGAAACCTTTGCCGTAAATCTTGTTGTTGTCCTCTTCGGAGGCACCCGCGTCCTTGGGCTCCGCATCCATCCAAGATGATGTCCCGGCCACCAATCGTCTGTGGCCTCGTCATAGTTCTCATAGTAGTCGGCGTAGCCTGGGCTCCACCAGTCGTCATCGTCGTACCAGTAGGACATGGCATCTGCTTGGGTGAAGCCACCGTACTCATCGCCGTACTGCTCCAGGTCACACTCCCTTTGCTGTCGTTGTGCGATGAGCCAGTCGCAATGCCAGCGTCCTGATGTCATCGAACCTGGCCAGATCGCCCTGAACTTGCAGCTTCAGGTCATCGAAGAATCGCTGGCTCATGCCACTGCGCTTCAGCCACAGGAAGCTCCTGCCGACAGCGTTGATGTCCAGTCCAGCGCGCGCCTGGGCTTCTTCAAGCCAAAGATCCCATTCCAATGAGTACTCCTGGAGCGTCATGCTGGCCTTCCTGCGGAACTCAAAGAAAGCCTCGAGGGGCTTCGTGAGGAGCTGCTCATCCGTCTGCCCGAAGGCGGTGCGAAGTGGCATTGCAAAGTGCCTGCGCCCCACTCGGGATCGCGTGCTGCAGGATCCGCGTGGGATCAGCCGGATCCCTGACCTCGTCCACGCTGAGCCTGACCAGCGCCGCGTCTCCGATGACCATTCCGTCCGGGCGGACCAGCTTGAGCTCCAAAGCCGCGCGTTGTGCCCTCGGGCCTAAACGGCCAGCAACTATAGGTCCAACACACTCGTCCGGCACCTCTCTCTGTCTGTGCCACAAACGCAGCCGCTGGAAGCACGTGGCGAGCGTGTAGCTAGGGTCCCCTGGCTCCCAACCTGGTGGAAGATCCCGCCTGAACTCCGTCAACGGAACTCCACCTCCGCCGCCAGCCGGCGTAGCCATGGTGATGCAACAAACAAGCCAGGTGAAGATGCCCAGCCAGCGCTGCGAGGCTTGTGGCCTCCTGCGCTGCCCGGTCCTGCTCTTATCCAGTGATACAGTGGCGCTGGTGCTCTCCTCAGGAGCATCGTCATCATCATCATCATCATCATCATCGTCGTCAGCATCGTCGTCATCCTCATCATCATCCTCATCATCATCGTCGTGATCATCCTCCTCCTCATCATCGTCATCATTATCATCATCATCATCATCATCGTCATTATTCTTATCATCATCATCATCATCATCATCATCATCATCATCATCATCATCATCATCATCATCATCATCATCATCATCATCATCATCATCATCATCATCATCATCATCATCATCATCATCATCATCATCATCATCATCATCATCATCATGTCTGAAGTCCCCAATTCACAAATGTAGAGAATCTTAATTGGTGAACACGAGTTTCTATGCCTACCTGAAACACCGAGTGACTGGCAACCAGAGGGCAATGTGAACGGCGACAGTGATCGGAAGAAAACAAAGCTGAATTACAATGCCTGGCCAGCGCCCACAGTGCTGAAGAGAGTGCCCACCTTGCACTCGTCGACTCGTGGGGTCTTCGGAACGCAAGCGCCCTATCTCGGCCGCTGGCAGCGCCCTCTACTCGGACTCTGCCAGCCAACACCTCGAGCAAATCAGGCTGCACTTCTGCACTGAACTCTGTGCCCAAAGGCCAAAGGAGGCCCGAGCTAAATAGAAGCTGCTCTGACCCAGCTTGCACTCGTCCCCCTGCCAAACGCATCCTCTGGACTTGAATGCGCTGACCACAATGCCTGCTCCGTGATTGTGTAATTCGGCGCGAAGAGAACCACGTCGGGGATCCTGCGGTAGAGTGCTCTTGCGCAAACGCGCAAACGAGCCCAGTTGTGTGTTTCACCTGACGAGTGCACCAGAGAAGGCTGCATGCGCATTGCGGAAGGAGAGGCTGCGCTGCAGCCTGAGCCAAGCAGCCAAGCTCTCGGTTTCGGCGTCCCATGTCGTGCCCGCTCCTCTTGCGCATTTGGGTCATGCCGTAGGGCTGGGCCTGGTCTTTCGTTCTTTTGTCTTATCTCACGTCTTGCTTCGCGCGAGTAGGTGGCCAGGCCTCCTTTCCAAGTATGTCCAACCTGATTTTGCAGAAACCGCAAACTGAGTGCTCAATTCTCTCGATCTGAGAAAACTGCAGCTCCTTGTCTCTGCCACCACGAGCCATCATCGCCAGAAAGATCTCATCTTTCTTGAACACCTGCGATTCTATTGGCACATGGCATTCCGCAACGAACAAGACCCCCTCCTGCACTAGGCAGACAGTGTCGGCCGTGACTCTGGCAGGGTAGAGCCTCGAGTGTGACCGACCGAATCTCGGACCGAATCTCGGACCGAATCTCGGACCGAAGGACCCTCGGACTCGGCCTCGTGGCGCCAACGAAGGCGGCCTCTCCAATGACCTCACGGGCGCGACCGGGCGCGACGGGAGCGGCGCGCGCCGGTAACCCGGTGGCCCGGTGGCCCGGTAGCCCGCCGCGGCCAGACTCAGTGACTCGCCTCCCCGCACTGCCATCTCCGCTCGCCTCGGAGGGGGCCTCCAGTGTGAGCCGATTCGAGACTCCAGAAACCTACCACTCGACCAAAAACCACGAGCCGCAATCCGGTCAATGAGTTTAGCCTGTAAAAACATGACGATGTGAGCTATGCGAGTACAAAACAAGTACAAGTAACTAGGGACGAATAAGCTCCTTGTTTTCTGAAGAAAACATGCATTTTGATGTCTTGCCTGCTTTGGCGTGCTTTTAGCTGGTTTATGCACGTCCCAAGGGCTTGCCTGTGAGTGGGCAGCACCACGGCAGTGGCGAGGATTTTGCACTGAACCATTGAACCCATATGTCTCCTGGCCCTCAATCCCCGATGCACAAAGACCCTTTTCTTAGCCCAGATCCAGGGCCCTGAGTTCCCTGAAGAGAAAACCGATACCGAGTTGCAACGGCGCCCAAAGCGCCAGAGGATTTGACACATTCACTCACATGTCTGCACCCGAACGCAATGATGCAATGCGTGACGTTTCCCAAACATTTAGCTTGAACAAAACACTTGCTCGATACACAACAATCATATGGTCAAGTGCACATGTCAATGGCATAACTTGAGGCAAGTGGGTTACTATAAACTGTCCTTTGGGAACACACATTCTGATACACTCCCGTTTTGCTATCGAGTTCTGGGGGAGTACAAGGGGACTTGTAGTTTGAGCGTTGCCCCTTTCTAGTGTCAGAGCAAGTCACACGGACACGGCGAAGTCCACAGCGATCTCTGACTTATCTCGGAAAAAGAGCAGTAGCCGAATCCAACAATGTTTGAGGGGCTAGGTCCTTTCGGTGAAGAACACAAAAAACAACAAAACATCGTATTCGGACAAACTGCAAACTGAAGAACAATTCCTTTCAGAACACTCTGCCTCGAAAGAGCAGCACATTTCAACACACTGAGAGATATGCCTTTCAGAATCACAAAAGCATGTCAAATCACCCACTCCCTCGCAACAATGCTCTTGTAGGAAGACACATTCTGCACTGCTTCGTTGAATAGCGCCACATTCCAACAAGCTTCAGCACATTTGTGTACTTTGTGCACTGCATAATGCCTCAGTGTGTACAGCGCCTTCTGTGCACTGGCACAGGGTACTAAACGTACGCAATAAAGGAACAAAACAGAGAGAGCGGCATGTGCATGGAGTTTGTGCGCAAAGCACTTTGCCCATGCGGAGACACTTTCATGCATGTAATACGGCGATGCGTAGTGCGGCAGACTCTGAGGCTTGCTCAGCATAAGGTCGCAGTCCCGTGCAAGAATATGTACAGCTCCTGGCCAATGGGGAAAAATCAAACATCGAAACAATCATCGACATGGCTCAAAGTGCCGAACTGCGATTCCGCTGATTGCATTCGTCGCCTGGACCAGATCGCATTCGCCTTCGCCTTCATCTTGACTACCCTCGTGGGAGGCATCTCCTGGGCCACCTGGCCCTCCTTCAATGAACTGGAACTCCACCGCAGCCTCTTTGGTCTCTTTGGTCTCTTTGGTCTGCAAGTGCTCAGTCACCAGCGCTTCCGGCCTCAAGAGCCCCAGATTGAGCTTTGAGCCGAGTAGCCACAAGCGCTATTGAGTCTGTGCAAAAAGACAAGCTCCACACACAATGTCGCAGCCAGGCTCAATGATCCTGGAACAGCAAAGGCGACCAAAGACGAGGTTGGCAAGGACTGGAAAGAACAAAAGGAGCACGAATAAAAGCGAGTATACGAGAGGAAGGAGAGGAAGGCAAGGCGCAAAGGGTCGGGCACCGGCCTTGTCTCCGCCATGGCTCGCGCCTGCTTGGCAAAGTCCAAGGACACCTCGTTACGTCCGAGTCCCGCTACGAGCGCTACGAGCCATTACGAACTCCCGCAGGGAGAGCTCCCGGAGCCTCAGCTCCTCCGAGGGCAAAGCCGCCGAGAAGAAGGCGGTCTCGCGCAGCAGCGTGCAGGACCCCGGCCTGAGACACCAACGATCACCAACGAAACACCTGTCGCTCTCGGTTTTCGGGTGGCCCGGCTCGTAGCCCAGCCGCTTCTCGGCCTGCGAAGCTTTGACTCCGACGAACTGCTCCAGCTTGCGGCTTGCGGCTTGCGGCATGGCGCCTGCTCGCCCATGTACTTCAGGATGGTGGCCCGAACCTTCCCCAGGTCGCTGGGGAACTCTGCCATGACTTTGCCCCAGGTCTCCCGACTCACAATGCGCACCTCGCGACACGACAAGCCAACATTGGCGCACTCAATGGATACATGTGAGGCCCATGTGATGTACATGTTAGTTCCTGTACTATGTGACGGCTATGGCAAGGACTTAAACGGTAGCATGTTCCCGAGGACCTGTCGCCCGAGCCTCGCAATTGGTCATGGGGAGGAGTCGCTCACTTTGCTTGGCTCGAGCTCCAGCCAGGATCTGAAGCCAAGCGCATGTTTCAATGCCTCATGCCTCCAGCATCTCCAGCCCCATGAGCCGAAATGAGCCGAAATGAGCCGAAATGAGCCGAAATGAGCCGAAATGAGCCTATAGGCATGGGGAAAGAGCCAGCTTCGAGGCGCTGGCCCGCTCGTTCCAGCAGCAGCCCGCTGTGAGGACTGCAAGTTCTTTGCCTCCGAACCGCCAGTTCCGAGCTTCCGCAACTTCCGCAACTTCCGCAACTTCCGAACGTGCGAAGCGAAGTGCCCCCGAACTTCCGAGGCCTTCCGGACTCAACACAGAGATCTCCCCCTCGAGGATCAGGATTGCAGCCTGGGATTCTCTCCATGCAATGCCGCAGTGCCACGCTGGCTGCCTCATTGAAGGGAGGCTGTCCCAGCTGTCTGTCCCCTGCAAGACCTCGGCAACAGTTAAAACCCCAGGCTGAGAGAACATTGCAGAGTCTCGGCAAAACCCCATAGCTCCAAAGGGAAGAACGAACATCATGGCATGGATTTTGCACACCAGGACATCGACATGAAAACTTCTCGGCGTAGAGATCCAGAAGGTAAAGCAAGCGAGAGGACTCGCCTTGCGCATTGCAATGGCAAATCCGACATCGAGTTCATCGAGTTTCCGCTCTCACCTCGAAGACATGGCCACACCACCCGTGGCCCTTCTTTCTGCTTGCCAGAGCTGGCGCCATCAAAGCGCTCCTCGGCGACAAATGGTCGGAGTCACGGGGGGAGTCCTCCTGCCTTCTCCTCCGGGAATTTCTCCAGGGCCTCGGCGCCAAACCAATGCGAGCATGTGTTCGAGTATTTCAAAGACAAGATGGCAGGGACAAGACTGCAAGTCTGGTCAAATGAAATCGGGGCTTTCCACCGGATTCCACCGCGCCACGCAAGTCCATAGTGAAAACACGTAACCTTGCAGCCGGCTGCATGTTCGACAAACATGTTTCTGGGGCCCGACGGTGCTGGTTTGCGTGCATCTCGTCGGGAACCTTCTAGATGTTTTTTTTTTTTTTTAGAATGCATCGCGAAGGGTTCTCTGCTGGATTTCTCGCACTACATTGCATGAAGAACATGCCGGAGAGAGCGTATGGAGAAGAGGAATTGCATAGAGAACCAATCATGCACAGAAACCTTATGCAAAAACAACTTTGCAGATAAAGAGTGTCCACACACTATACATAGATACAATGCATAGAAACACGTGTGGAGCAAGTGCGAAGAGATCACACGTAGATAAACTTGCATGACTAGCTCGTGCAAACAAACTTGAACAACTAAATTGCGTAAAGATATTGCATCGAGACACCCATGCAAAGAACTTGCAAAGAAAGACTTCTAAAAGGACCTGGATCGGAAAACATGCTCGGACGTGCGTGAAAAATTTGCAGATCGGACAGGTCTGAAAACCCAACGTGCCACGTAAAGTGAGGAACCTGTGTGGCTTTCACCGACCGAGTGCACTACACCCTTCGCCCTCGCTCCAAGACGGTCGGGCAACCGAGTCCCAGGGCTCTCTCGGAGAGAATGAAGCGACCGTTCGGCCGTTCGGCCCTGAAACAGACGTACACCGCAGAGAAACCTGCACAAAGAACGTGCATAGAGAACCTGCAAACTGAGAAGGTTGCACGGAGAACGTGCATAGAACAAAACACTTCGAGAAATATGTCATCGAGCACGTGCATAGAGAACCTGCTCACAGAGAAACTTGCACAGAGAACCTGCGCGGAGAAAATTGCACAAACAACAGAATAGAGAACTTGCATCAAGAGCTTGTGCAAAGAAACGAGCTTCCTAGTTGTTCCAGCATGCGGGGTGCCCAAGGCACCGTTCAATATTGCGCCTTCCAGATTTCCATTCAAGTCTTGCAAAATGTGCATGCAAATATGTGCCCACACCGTCACTGTCACTAGCACCTCAAACGGCACCCCGTACTTCATGCCCCAGCGCCCGGCTGTCGATCTCGCAAATGCCCCCTAGCACCGGCCCTTCAATCTCGCAAAAATGTCACCCCCACCGCCACCACCCCAATCAGCACCTGTGCCAGCACCCCAATCTGCACCCCCTAACCCCGCCGCCAGTCTTGCAAAGCTGTTGGGGGGTGCATGCCCGAGACGAAGACGCGCAGTGAACAAACAAAAACAACTTGCAGCCGTTGGGGGAGCACCCCCGAAACGAGCACGCCCAGTGACAAAAACAAAGCCGGCGTACCAATCCCCAGTCGCGCTTGGCGGAGCACCCCAAAGCACGCCGAGGTTGAAAAAGCACAGCTTCCCAACGTCCACCCGCGCCGCATCGCGCCTTTTTTTTGGGTGGGGGGGCACCAGGCCGTTGACGTCAGAAACAAAAACCACCACCCGCGTTGTTGGGGGAGCACCCCTGAAATGAACGCCCAGTGACAAACAAAATCGCTTGCCGATCATTGGAGTGTTGGTGGCCTTCCGGGTTCAGCTTTGACCTAACCAAGAACCGGTGTGCACAACTGCGCCTGATGGAAAGTCGAGGAAGGGATGCTCATCAGAAAGCACAGCGTCACCTGGCACGGGTCAGCCACAGGCACATGACAATCAACGGCAACATGCGGTAGCTTGCTGCGCGGATGGTCACGGCGCGCTCCTCAGGTTTGAGCACAGCCCGTGGCACGGCTGAGTAGGGCGCCGACCGGCGACATGCCCAGCATGGCCAGCCTCGAGCATTCGCCCAGCATCCGCTCGTGAACACACGATGCGCCCGCATGCGGCCGCATGCGGCCGCATGCGGCCGCATGGCGGTCGTGCGGTCGCACGGTCGCACTGTGGGCCCGCGCTCCCCGAAGGTCGCTCCCGGCGAGATGCGCGCAATGGCGCGGCCCTCCCGCTCCGCCACCACGATGCCGCCTCCGGCTCAACACATGCGCTGACGGCATCTGACGGCATCTGACGGCATCTGACGGCATCTGACGGCATCTGACGGCATCTGACGGCATCTGACGGCATCTGACGGCATCTGACGGCATGCCACGCAGACTTGCACGTGTGAAAGTGTGTCTCAGGCCTGAGAGGACAAACATTGATGGATCCTCTTCGAGCGCACCTTCCACCACGATGGTCTGGCCGTGCCTCGTTGCCCACACTGTCTCCGTGCACTTCTGGACCCTAAGCCCTAAGTATACCAGCTGAAAAAGTCGAGGCAAACCATGTCGACACTCTTCACAAAGCTGATCTCAAACACGCTCAGGTGTTTGTGGACGGATCTCCGGGTCTCCGCGCAGGTACATGGCCGAGGTGACGGACGCATTCAGCGCCTCCAAGAACCGCTCGCCGCAGCTTCGGAAGAGCTCCACATGCCGCACCTCCAAAGGCGAGAAAGAGGGCGTCTGGGCATCTGGGCGTCTGATTGTCTGGGTGTCTGAAGTCTGAAGGACATGCATCCAAGAAACGTCTTTCAAAAGCGCAAAGATTCAAACGAAAGGACAACGAAGAGGCGAGAGCAGCCCATGGGCCACACATGAACCGACAACAGGAAACACACACACACACACACATTGCTGCTGGCTTGTGCCTTACTTCCGGAGATTCGGCCGCCCTGTGGGGAGGTCTTCAGCTGTTCAAAGTGCTCCTGCCCGTGAGCACGCTGGCTGCGAAGGCATGAGGCAAGAGGCGTGGGCCATTTCTACAGGATGCTTCTTCAGCGCTTTGTGAAGTGCCGGCCGAGCAATTGCCAGGACGAGGGCAAAGGGTGTGAAGACCTAGACTCTTACGCTTCAAGCAGCACGCCTTCTGATCACCAAGCTCACTGAGCTCGCAAGCTGTCGCAAGCTGTCGCAAGCTGTCGCAAGCTGTCGCAAGCTGTCGCAAGCTGTCGCAAGCTGTCGCAAGCTGTCGCAAGCTGTCGCAAGCTGTCGCAAGCTGTCGCAAGCTGTCGCAAGCTGTCGCAAGCTCGCAAAGCTGAGAGCTGAGAGCTCCGCTCGGACTGTGGCGTTGGCTTCGTTTGCAATGCCAAGGAGAGTCCTCTCCTTGAGAGCCCAAGGGCGAGCGAGCGGATTCTCACGCGCTGAGGCTTGGGCACCAAAGCAATTGCCCGTGGGCACTTCGTTCACCGTGCCAAGGCCGGCAATCTACGATGCGCAAAAGACCCCAAACCAAAGTTAACCAAAGCGATACCTGGATGGCAACACTTCCATGCTCCAGCACAAAGAGCGTGCCGGCCTGCCCAAGTCTTATGCTGGCTCGTGAGAACAACAATGAACAACACGCATCTCAGAATGTCTCCAAGCTCTATGGGGCTCGGGCTGTGCCACCCTGCTGTAAAACGGTCTCCCCGGCAAAAAGCAAGCGCCGCTCCTGGAAATGTATTTCAAGGCAAAGAACGTGTCTTAAGTTTGAGCCCCGCGCCCCACTGCTGGCCACATCGTTCACGAAGCCCAAATCACATCCGAAGAAAAGATTCAGCCTGCGCTTAAGCTGAACCTCTTGCATCTGATCATACTGTAATTGCCATGGGCAAAGCTGTGACCAACTACACTGCCCCGTTTCTCGGCCCAAAGCGAACTGGCAACTTCCGTCTTGGTGAGCAATCGCTCCTCAATGCCACACTGCTGCACGTGCATGATGCCTTTCACGGCTCCTTGATGCACTCAGCTGTGTCGACCAAACGCTCAGTGGATGGGTGCAAGAGCGTTGGATACGCGGCCTCAGTGACTCACTTCTCAAAGCCCTCGCCCGTGTGCTGAGTCTGCAGCCAGCACATTCAAGATGGAACGGCCAGGAAAGAAGATGACCTGCAGAGCACACCAGCCAAACAGAGAAGCAACTGGGAACGGGCCTCAACATCTGTCTTGGCACGAACTGTGGCAGGGCGTGGCAGAGATGCCCCGATCAGACCTGGGCACACCGATCGGAACGACCGGAGAATGCAGGTGCAATGTGCATGGAGCATCACGGAGCCGAGAAACATGGTTCAAGATGCATAGGATTTTGATTGCTTGATTTTAGGTTTTGTCTTGGCCAGCAAAATGTCGTATTTTAGAGCATTGTCTCACGAAATGTACGCATTTTACAATAGCCCGTCAATATCCTCAGCATCGTTCTCAACATCTCCTGCAGGCTTTTATATTGGCTTCCTACATCCTCAGCAACATCAGTTCCTCTCCAGCAAGCTTTTTTTTTGTGTAGGTATGTAACAGTATGTACCTATACATTTTAAAAGCAGCGGGGGAGTTTGCGGGAGAGGGGGCAGCCGCCCTCCGATGATGGTTGAGAAGGTGATGATTCAATTTGGGGTGCATGTCAATCTCTGCGAAAAAATCTGCAAAGTAGCGGGGGTGCCGCCTCCCTCAAGATGTTCGAAGAAGTGCATACGTACAGACATACGTACCTAGATGACATGGATTACATACCTACATGCATACCTGCACACCTGCCTACATAAACACAAATATCATACAAAACACTTGCCAGAGAAGAACTGATGCTGAGGAGGTGGGCAGCCAAGGCCAAAAACTCCTGCGAAAGCAGAGGATGCGAAAAGCCAAAGCTGAAAAAGCCACCAAAAGCTGCATAAACCCACGAAGAAGCCACAAAAGCCAAAAAGCCGAAAAGCCACCCACCCCAAAAAACAAAAAACGCGAAAAGCATATCCACCACAAACCAAGTGCAAACAAACCTTAATCTAGCCCTCAGTCCGCGAGGCAAGCTTAACCTCGAAGCTTTTCAGCAAAACCCCTACACATCCCTCAGCCCATCCCAAACCCAGTCGTAGCCCGCCCAACCCGAAACCTACCCCAAACCAAGCCCCACCTCGACCCAAGTTAACCAAAAGCTGGGAATGGAACGTGGCAAGCTGCAGTGTCAGATGTCCACGCACTCAACACACGTTTCACTCGCGCCACTGGCACGGCCCACTCGGTGACCCTTTGGGTGACCCTTTGGGTGACTCTTTGGGTGACCCTTTGGGTGACTCGGTGTCCGGGAGGTCCGGGAGGTCCGGGAGGTCCGGGCTGATGTCGCCGATGATGGCCCCGCCGCGGAGGCGGCCCACGGTCTGAGCGAAACCGAAGCGCCGCGCGCCTCGCGCTGCCTCGCGCCGCGCCTGCTGCTCCGCCTGGCCGTCTTCCTCCCTGACCTGGCCGTTCCAAAAAAGCCTTAAGCCTAAGCCGTAAAAAAGTAAAAACGAAGAGAGAAAGAGCAGAGGTGAAAGACTCAGTGAGCAATTCACGGTCGCGCAATCGCCTTCTTCAGCACCGAGGCAACACCGCTCACCACCAGCACCAGGGCATCTGAGTCCTCGAGTCTCGAGTCGATTCTGTCGAGTCCCAACATCGAGACGCTCGATGCCTCGCCAGCCGCGCCCTCGGCGACCACCAGCTGGCCCTTGGGCACCAGAGCCCTCCGCGACTCCGCTGCCAGCTGACACATGGCCTGAAGCCATCGGGAGAGAGAGAGGCGGAGGGAAGCCGGAATCCGGATCTTTGCAGCGCTCGGAACTTAGAGGCTTGGGGCATGTGAGAGTCGGGAGAAAGGACCACTGAGCCTTTTCTTCTCACCGTGCCTCGATGGGTGCGCCAGGAAACACGGTTGACACGAATTTGTTCATCGTCTCCTGGGCCAAGTCATGAAGGGAGAGAACTGAACTTATCGGAACCTGACAGAACTCGTGGTTTCAAGCGGGCTTGGGACTCCCACCATCCAAACGGCGCAGATCTCCTCGCCTCGGGCACTTGAATTGGATCGTGAAACTGTTCCCATCCCTGAAGCTTCCAGCCGTCCGACTGAGAAATGTGAGTCCTTTGGTCAAAAACACCCTCCCTGAAGTGCCGCTTCAAAGTTTGCCGGAACAGGGTCGGGGAAAGTCGCCGGTTCGTCGTGGATGGATGCCGTTTGGTAGGGGAATGTTGTGGATTTGTCCCAGCATAGCAACAAAGTGAAAAGTGCTTGAAGACACAAAAAGGGCTGAAAAGCAGGCTTTCAAGAAAGGCATGACACAAATGCGCACTTTGGACCAGGTCTGAGAACGCTGCAACTCACGCCCAAACTGCCCAGGTGCTTGATGCTGAGGTCTATCTGGACACAGCGACTGCTGAACGTTGAGACGCTCCATGCTTGTGTGAGGCGCACATGCGGCATCTTCCGATCGAGCATGTCCTGAATCTTCTGGAGAGACCTGGCACCCAACGCGCGTGCACGTGCGCAACTTACTCTGAGCGCCAAGGGGCGGGAGCGCCAGCACCTGAAAACGGCAACTCGGGGAGCGGCGACGTGATTTGCTTCAGGAGAGGCGCTGTAGCCCCGCCACTCGGCAGCGCGGCGCCCGCCTAAGGCCAAGCGAGTGGATCGCTTGGTCAGTTGGTCAGTTGGTCAGTTGGTCCACCTTTGTGGGATGCTCGCCCGGCAGCGCGCCGGTCAAGCCCTGCAAGCCGCAAGCCGCAAGCCGCTGGCTTTGGGACTTGTGACATGTCAGAAGTGCCAGGTTCATCCACCCCGTCGTTGGCGTGCTCTCCGTGCGACATGCATATGGGCCTTGCTCGCACTCGCACCACTCTCGCGGCTCACCCGCGTTTGCGCATGTTTGAGGCAGGCACAAGTGTTGAAAAAGCCCATCGTAGCATCACTGGGGCCATCGTCCTCAACGCATTGCGTCACCAAAAAACCGGACCCAATTCATCTCGTCCTGCTGCTTCGGTGGCCCCCGGAAATCCGAATAGATGGCTGGCGGAGCCCCGGTGTAGCCTAAGCGAGGACCTGCCTTCCACTCCCAGCCTGACAACTTCTTTGCCCCCTTTTGCACTTTTTCATTGCAACATCCTTGGATCTCCTGACAGCGCTATACATCTTTCCGGGCTGCCGGCCATGGACATCGTAGCCTTGACTCCGCGCAGCCCTGTCTGGAGCCGCTTGCCGGAAACACCGCTTCATTGAACTCTGGCAAGGCGAACACGAGTGGACGAGTTGACACGAGTCACGAGAAGGCGGTGCCTGGGGCGCGCCGGTGCCCCGCCCGGATTGCGCATTTTGAAGACCTTGGCCTCAAATGCAGTCAGACTCTCCGAGACTCGGCTCAACCAATACGATCGCATATGTTGCCCACCTCTGGGAACAGCCGAAGGAAGCCGGTGCAATTCAGCACGGTGCCCTGGCCTTATCTTCTCTCTGTCTCTCTCTTTCTCTCCTTCTCTCGCTCCAAAACCAAGGCA